AACAGCGCGGCCCTGTTAATCCTACACGAGTATACGATCATCAGGGGATGCGAGTGAGGAATGACGAAAATATCAACGCGCAGCGTCGCGGAGCATTTCGAACGGATCAATATGAAAACGCGCGCACGTCCGTTTTCCCCGTCGTTCACCCTCGCGGCCTGCGGCAGCTCGCAGACGACTCCGGTGAGCCCGCCCGGTACGTCCAGCCCGGAGAATTGTCCAAGGTATTGTCGCTCGGGATGATCCTCCTTCCGTTCGATACAAACCGCTTGTCCTCACCTGGAATTTTATTATTGCGTAGAATTGGAGTCTGACGATGCCGTGATCCGACGTGTTCCGGATGCGCGAGAGTGAGCCCGCTCAGTTTGGATCGTCACAATGGGCACCAGATATGCAGCATGTAATTACCGAGTGTCCATCGCGCGTTGCCCTGTCGGTTGGAGGGAAAAGTGAATCCTCGTTGTAACTCGCGGAGGAAAGTTCTCGTGTCATTAGACAGCACGTTTTCAACGTCCAAATTCGATGACAAATCTTTTTTCCGCGACGATTACAGGATTTACCAATGAATTTTCCACTAAATGGACTTCGCCCGCAAGAAATTCATGATGGAACCAGCAAACAATGCCTATTAAGTTAGCGGAGAGATCCAGCTATCTCGTATTAGGAGCTTATCTTATATAAAATGGGACTTTCCTCTATTTCTTTAGTTTAATAATATATTCTTTCAACCAATCATCCTCCAACCAACTCTACTAAGCAGACGTGGTTTTCACGTGTAAAGGAAGGATTTTTAGAAACTTTACCTTGTGCAAATTTTACATTACAGACAGTCTCAAGCTCGCTAGTCTGCACGACGCTTATCAGCGGCTACTTTACGGGACTCAGCCGATACCTTCCGGCTTAGACATCGCAAACATATTGAAATACTTTTCCCAAACGTTGCTATGTAAGTGGATACGAGCGAAACAAATTTTCAATGTAATCACCCGAGCGATTCATCCAACGCAATGTACCGTTAAAAATTCTCAGGTTTGTTGAAAGAATCGTCCGTGTCGCCGTTCGACATGATCAAGTCGCAAGAGCTCGACGGGGAACGAATGGCGTTATTCCCAAATTTGGACTACAAGCAGCTTTACAACGCGCTGACACAAATGATTGACGTCGCACCACTGATTCACATCGGCCTACCAGGTTTATCATCATCGTTCTATCATTATTATCGAAAATGCTATCAAGCGGAGTGTACAATTAGAAGTGTTACTTATGTACTCGACCCCTTGACTCCAAATCCCCCCCGCCCAAAAAAAGATTTAATTTCTATCTCTAACAGCTCCAGAGAAAACGTAGCGTGTAAGACTTAACTGCTACATCCGTACGGTATAAGTAAAAGTTGATTGAGTTTTTAGCGTATTATTTACTCTCGATATGATTATAGACTACTTGCTTAATCCAGTAATTCTTCAAGCTCTCGGGATATCCTTGTCAAGCGGCCCTTAATTCAATGCGCCTAATAAATATAATTTACATATATTTTTGTAGCGTTCGGGAAGGCCCTGCTACAATGTCTAGCGTGCATGTTGCTGTTCCTCGATCACGATCTGATAGACAATTTGTCGTACTTAACTGCCAGTACGATATCCATACTTCCCGTGGAGCTACACGAAGAGATCGTCAATTATCTCTGTTTTTACATTTTACCGTTCACCATCAGTGAGTTTTTCCACTGCTTTTATATTTGTGTCAGTGTTACTTGTACCTGTATGTTATATGATAAGCACACATTCACTCGTCTTTCTAAGAGAGAATAACAGCTGCCGGGAGGGAATGTGAGTGTGGAAAGAAAGTTTTAGTATCTTACCAATAGGAGCTTATCTGTTAAATGAAAAATTGGCTTGCCGGCTGGAGAACCAGTGAATAAAGCGTAGAATAGTGCGCTTTTTATTTTAGGATTAATATAATTTTAGTATAAGCTTTAACCAGATTTAACACCTTTATTTTTATGACGCGATATTATCATTAATTAGCTTGCAGCTACAATTATATTATCAAGATTTAATCTAACAATAGAAAGCTAACGATAGAAAAAGAGAGAGAGAGAGAGAGAAGAAATGAACGATATTTACAGACATTTTAATTTTCAGCAAGAAAACCCGAAATTGGAGACGAGAGTGCCGCTAGCCAATCAGTGGCCGCTGTTATAATGATGGTGTTTCAATATTCCAATAATCCAGGTACCATATATATAGGGAAAGTGTAGAATTAATATTGGTATTTAATTTAAAATGCATTGTTGGTTTAGAATTGTCGAATTAGATAATTAAGATGTGCTAATATCCCACGCGCTTTTCTAAGAACACGCGTTATTACAAAAGTGTGCGTTTGCGTGACTACAAATATTAAATTTATAAACATGTGCATTACGAAAGAGAAACATTCTCTCTTCCAGCGCATCACTGTCAACTGCTGGAGTGTTTGATGGCTCTGAAGCCAGGAGTCGTGAAGGACATACTTTGCGTTATCGCCTACGGCACCGCGTCGGCGAGAGCGTCAGCTGCGAAATTGCTGTTCTACTACTGGCCTTCGTTTAATCCCAATCTATTCGACCGTCGCGCGGTGCTGGTAAAATTTGCCAGTGAGTAGTAAATATATAATTAATACAACTGATATATATCTACTATTTGTGCATATCTTTTACAGTATTATAGTTTGTTAAAGCTGCGAGAACTTTGATGCAACCGGTGATGTGTCATGTTTTATCAATTCTTATCTTACGTTTTAACATACATTTTACAAATCTGTTGCGCACGGAAAACATAATGACAAAGTATCGATGTTGCGGGTAAGATAGCAGACAATTCCCAAAATACGACGTGCAAAACTATTATCTGCACTTTAGACGATTTCACCCCGTTCGTATGCCAACGGGATAGCTGTCCGAATGCCGGTAATGCGGAAGCTGCCAAAGTTTGTTACAATCACCACATTTCCATCACGTACGCCGTTGAATGTCCGCCTCCTCTTTATCTCTGTATCGAGTGCGCGAACGAGATCCATCGGGACCACCCGAATCAAATGTTTTGCGACATTTTGCATCCGATGCAACAGGTGTCCATGATCTGCGAGAACAAGGTGAGCGCGTCGGATCCGAGAGAATGACCTCGCTCAAGTATTTGAAATTTGACTTGATATTTTTATTCTCAATCAGAACTGCAGAGGAGCGGACAAATCGGCTATCAGCGTTTGCTTATCGACAGAATGCGCGAGTTACAATGGCAATCATCCTATAAGATATTGTCAGCAGTGTCACAGTATCCGTCACAACAATCGTCGTGGCGGCGATCACGTTTATCACACGGCGCTTCCGCACATCTCGCAGCTGGACCCGCAAGCGCAAACTTATATGGTTCAGGCGATTGTCAGGCAAGCTATTATAAAATCGTTGATGATAATTGCTGCGAGCTCAGCCAGACACGATATTTTTGTCTTGCAGTTTACTCAGAGAAGCTGAACCGATAAGTATCGATAGCAATCGGGACACAGACATAAGTGCTAGTACTAGCAATAAGGGTGGCATGGGATTCGTAGGGAGTACCAGTGGGAGCGGTGCTGGCGGTATCGGGAGTACATTTGGTCATTGCGACCCAACAAGTCTGGAGGAACGACAGCTCCTTGGCAGATATGGCGTATGGCTGCTAGTGGGACTTTGTACCCCTAACGAGGATACCCCGGTTGAAATACTGGGCCGTTTATTGTCAATGTTATTTCATTGGTTTCATGTCACTGCCTACTGTTTCGATGGTATTGAAAAAAGACTTATACACCTTATCTTTTCTGTTGGTAATTTAACACTTTGCATATATACACTTTACTCAAGTAGACGTAGAGAGCCAGACGTAGGTAGTAGCGTGGTATGTCGGCTAAATATGTGCAAGATGTACAAGATGTGAGCATCCTCTGTGTACACACTCTGTAAACATGTGAAATGTATGTTGCCAGTCTCCATGTTTGTCCCGCGAGAGAAATTTATTATGTCGATATACAAATATATTCGTTTCCGAAATTGGCCGAAGGCCAAATTATGCCTGAAATATTTAGCCGAATTCAATCTGTTGCGTCGTGCAAATTAAACGAGTAGAAAATATTGATTCGAGACTTTATATTGATACAAAAAAAAAATTGCATGCAACGTATCAAAGATATCAGCACACAACTCGACACATATCTGAAATTTGCATTTAAATGTCGAATACTTGGAAAAAAAAATGTACCTTCGCATAACTTGCATGCCATAAATTCGCGAAACAATAAATGTGTCCAATCTGTTTGTGTGTTTCAATCGTATTGTATGTCGCTAGTTGATAGTTTAACGATAAATCACAATAGTGTTCCTAAAACAATTTCACTATTTTCATCTTCTCACGATCAACCTCTCAATCGATCGAAAACATTTCAGGCCAAGCGGAGAGCGCGCTCGAGAAGCTAAAAACGGAGTACGTTTGCGAGTGGCTGTCGGAAGTTATGAAAACACATTACGAAGTATTTATTTCCTGTCTTCTCCCACATCCTGCGGACTATGTCAGAGTCGGTGGTCACTGGTGAGGAAGAGACTCGCATCTTTACGAAATAAATAAGATCTATATGAAACTTATAATAAATGATATCGTTGCGATTGCGATTAAATCACGTTAACGTAATTAATATTACTTGTTATTCTGTTGAAAGGGAAACCTTGGCTTCACGGACATCGCATTTGAAAGACGGACTGCATCGGCTATTCTGTCTGGTACCGTACGAAGTGATTACGCCCGACGTATGGGATTACGTGATGCCGCACTGGATGGAAGCGGTGGTAAATGACGTTCCCGAAAATGAACTGCAGGAGCTAAAAATAATATTAAGGCATGAAGAGATCTTTACGTATTTGGAATTTTCAGCTTACACGACGAGTAATTGTCAACTTATATTACAGCAAGATTTTGGATCGGGACATGAATTCTTTAGGATTTGACGTGAAGAAAATGTACAACTTTATAGCGAAGCGTTTCGTCAATACGAGCGCTAAGGTGCAAGAACAGGCCCTCAATTGGTTGCAAACGCTTACCATGCTGGAAATAACGTTACCCCTTGATCAATTATTTTCAATATTCAGCGACGGAGTTACTGTTATGCAGTCAATGAGCTCGGCAGAATCAGAACTAAAGCTAAACAAATCTACGAAGGAAGACGATATAAACATTACATGTATGCAATTATAATTATTTGATTATAACCGAGTATTACTGTATCTTCAATCGATTGAGAATCTCTTGTCGGGAGAACTGATATATTAAAAAATGTTGACTATAAATTAAATTCACTTGGGACTTATTACTCAGAAGTACAAGTCTGTTGTGTAAACTTGATGGCTTTAAAATGCTTTAGGTCCCATAGTGGAAAATGATTCAGGGAAATCAACACCACTTTCCGATGACGTAGTACCAACACCGAGACACATGGAATTTACAACAAACGCTGAACTTAATCTATCTTGTTGCATTCTCATGCTTGATATATTATTGAAACAAGTGAGATATAAACCTTAAAAATCTAAATATTAACTACATGTACAATCCCTCTTCACTTTTACGTAATAAGAGAATGATGAAAAACTTTGGTTTTGGCAGATGGAACTACAAAATGTAGACAAGCATACCGGACTTAATACAAAGGTTTGCCGAGATGCTTGCCATTTAATGAAGTCCATAGTTACGTCCAATTGGAACAGTTCCCACGTGTGCGATACGTCGGACATCGAATGTTCTTATTGCGAGTCGAGGGTAATCTGGCACCAGTTATGTCTACAATTAATTACTTACATGGCACCGGAAAATCCGGCGTATCCGCCCGACGTTAGTTGACTTTATAATTCAATTTAATGTATAATAATGCAATAGTAGAACGATGCGATAATAATAAGTAGTAATTAATTTTGCTCGATTTTGGGCAGTTCGTTATACATAAAGAGGAAAGAAATGACTAGTTTTTCACATTTTTCAGCCGATCGTGGATGAAACCGCGGAGGAGAATGCTCGTAAAAGTTCACCGGAAACGACAAGGAAGGGCGATTCGAAACCAGATGTAGTCATCAACATGCCAATACCAGAAATGCATTCTGTCGGCGGGGTCCTAGTTCATATGCCACACGTACGTCTCTTAATACATGAACTCTAAGATAGCAAACTCAAACTCGAGCGCTAATATCATGTTCGATGTCTGTCTCATTAGCAATTAAATTTCCGCTTTCTTGAAAAGGGGAAAGAAGACATGGAAAGAGATTCACTCTGCAATGAGACAAACATCGCGAGAGAAATGTCGTTTCTAATGTCACTGCGTATTACACGAACCTCCATTAATAAAGCAGCATGCTACTTGAAACTGTCTTAATATGTGTATATGTGTCCGTATGCGCTTCTCTCTCTCTGTCTCTTCTTCTACGACACGGCCCGATCACAAAGACACGGTAGGCTAATCTATGTTACCGGAATAGCTATTTTGATCGTTTATGTCAGTTCTTCGAACAGATTATGACAGCGACAGTAGAGACAGTTTCGGAACAGCTGGACCTCGCAGCTATCATGCCAACGGAGAAGATCATGTCAGCCGTCGCGAGAACGGTCACACTGTCAGAAACGGACGTCGGTAGGGCAATACTCTACGTATCACTTTTCGATAATTATATTCGCTTCATAATAATTGTAATATAAATGCACGCATGTTTCTTTAGCTACCGCAACAGTGAGCGTGGCAAAACCACATCTGATAGGCGAAAACGACGAACCCGTGAGCTTAAGTCCGGAAGCTGACTCGGAAGACTTTTGGCACACCTCTGTAGGAAAGTTTCGTTTTACGATTGAAGAATTACCGGAGCAACTTCAATATATTCACAAACTACTGAAGGTACTGCCGGTATAAATCACGGCGGTCAGGCGATATATGCGCACAGAATTATGCTCATTAATTTATTTAATAATCACGCGTTGACCGATAGCTACTTAAGTAATTAGATCTCAAGTTACAATATTCGTTGTCCTATAATTACAAGAATAAATTCTACAATCGTCAAAGCTACTTAATTTGGTTCGTTAAAACATATCATTTGCAGGAGATAATGACGATCGACAAACCAGACATTCTTTACTACATGCTGCAGTGCTTAAACGTGATGTGCTTGTATGGTGACGCGTTTAATACGGCGGTGAAGGATCATCAAGGATTCTTTATATGGTGCCAAGAGAACTTGTTGATAAAAAAGTACGTATTAGACGTGTTGAAGTGTTCTCCGTGGAGGCAACTAGCAGCGGGAAATCGCGAGAACTTGGTTTGTCAATCTCCTCAATTATTTATTACTTGTTATAGCTTATGGGAGCTCCTAAACGCAGAGCATTCACACATAGCACAAGTGACCGTTCCATTATTATTGCATTGTGTAACATTACCCTGCGGCACCGATACTTTCTGGCGGCTTGTACAAGAAGAGTTTCACAATTCCGACTGGCGCGTTAGATTCGTCGCAGGTAATCACCTATAATCCGAACAAACTGACTGCTTGATTTATTGTCATTCTAATTCAATCTTTCGCACTAATGCAGAAATTATTTGAAATATATATTCTATTTTAAAAATAATAAACTTTCTCAATATTTCAGTCGAACGTGTTACATTAATCGCGAGATTTATGGACTCAACGCCGTTGCGGAATATATTGAGTCTTCAAGCTGCATTAGCAAATGCGTTCTGTTACTTAATCACGAGCATGGACGACAATAACGTGTATGTTGCGCAGCGTGCTACTTTGTATCTCGGTACTATTCACGACACGGCAATTAGGGTAAATTTCATTATTAAGTGCTTAAAATTTCACTTATCCAAAATGGAGCTTTTAAATTAGAAAGCTATCGGGTCTTCTCAATTAATTCGTTGGTTGATATCGCGTACAATTTCTGAACTTTCACATTCAAACTATTACTGACAATTTTATTTCAGTCGTTAATTTTATGCTTGGAGACACAATTCGATTCCGTAATCGTAGACCGGCCAATGGTATTGCAATCGCTCTATCAACTACACAATAGCCTTAGCGATCGACGTATCTTGACGTGGGAATTTTTCTTGAATCGATTTGACACGCTATTTCTCGAGGCTCAAATCAATTTGGAGAAGTCTGGAGATGTGACTTACTTGCGCGGTTAGTATCATCCTGTTAGAAGAAAATATAAATTTTAGGACATTTTATTAAAAAAAGATATAAAGTAAAGTACAAGTTGAATAAGTGTTTCTTTTGAAGACCTGAAAAATACGGATATGAACAGCGAGGTGTTCATGAAGAAGCTGCATCGCGCGCACGAAGCACTTTCTCAATCCGACGGTAGCGGGACAAGTTCCGTGAAGACGCTGAGCGCGAGTTTCGGCACAAAGTGGCCTTACAAGCGTACAATGTCCGCACCCGCGTCGATGATACCTCGGCAAGACACGAAGCAAGGTACGTACTCTAAACGCGTTCCCGCTTTTCTCTAGACCATATCCCTATCGCCTCTTCGCGCACATCACAGACTATGTCGTACACTGTGTGTTACTTTTCTCCTTTTGTTTACCGCATCTTTCACGCAGAAAAGGAAAAGGTGTACAGCCGACAGTATTCCGCGCCAATCTTGAAAAGGAAGAGCTCGAGATTCGGACTGGGTCAGTTGTTGGGGTCCACCCCGCCTAATAACAGTATTTCAGGTAGAGTAGCGTGTGTTGCCTGCGTAGCTGTAGACGAGACATAAATGTATACGCGCAAATATGTTGCTCGTTTGTATTACACGGACTATTAAAGGATGTTAAAGCAATCGACTCCAGATGGATCGTTCGGTCGAATAGGTCGAACGGTAAGTAGCAATGCAAAATCGCAGAATCGGCAGAAATGCTTTAGTGATGCCTGTTGATGTATGTTTCAAGTGTAAATACCATTGCTTTCGATCGATTCTGTTTTGCGAGTTTTACAAATATAAAGCGGTCGAGCAAGAATTAATATATTGCTTGTAAATGTTTTGTACGTGTACAAGTGATAACGAAGATCTAACGATACAGTCCACTTTGTTTCGTTTCGCAAAATACACAGTTTCAATCAGGAAGATCTTTTACCTGCGGAAAGCAAAACAAATTATATTACTTTAAACAATATAGAAATAAAATTCTTCATTCCCGCGTTAATCTCGAAACGTGGCTTTGAATTAATAGTCTGTTCCTTCGTGTATCGCTTTAATTAGCCTTTGCGATCGAATGCGACATGCATGCTTTTCCTTTGCCATATGTAGCATAAATTTATAATTTACTTAGCATATATTTATAATTAATTCTTTGAATTGTGAAAAGTAAGATAGATATAGAAATATAGTCAACATTAAGTTATTCGTACTTTGTAGACCTTATTCCTCCTTTTTGGTAAATCTCTTCAATTAGTAATTAATATTGAAAAACTTTGCAGATGGTCACATACATTCATTGAACATGGTCGACGAAGCTAGCACATTACCAGGATATACCCACAAAATCGTTGATCTTGAAGAAGCAGATAAAGAAACTATGCATCTACTAGTTTTCCTCTTAATGCAATTTCTATCGAGACAGGATCAGGTATATTCTCAACCTATTTAATTGTAATGCACATAGAAGAAAGAAACGCTCTCGATTATATTTAATATCAAATATTAAAAAAGTTATATACTTTCTCAATTCCGCATGTTCAAATTTATAATCAGGCCTATCCGACGGACGAGAAACCAATGTCGAAAACACAGGGCATAGTCTTGCGACACTTGTATCTTCTTTTGGGATACAATCAAACTGAACGCACTTTTCATACTACTCCACAACGTTTACGGTGAGCTTTCCATAACATTAGTTTATTAATTGTTATTGTAAACGCTTAAATTTTGTTACGTTTAACAATTTCTTGGGCACAATGGTAATTGTAAATTACATTTGTTATTTTTTATTGATGTAAAAATTATATATTAATACAAACTTCAAAACTATTACAGGCTTTCGCCGGCGTTTAACGTCTTTATTGCCAATTTGCCACAATTGTTAGACCAGAATCATGTGATGGGTTGGCTGATGACGCCACCAATTCTGGCAATATTACAATACTGTCCTTGTCCTCCGCAAGCTACACCCCCCACTGGTGAGCAGCAACCACCGAATTACAGTCTTTGGTATTTGGAGCCACACATCAGACGGTCTTGGTTGATGTCTCTGCTTGTTATCTTGTACAAGGTAAAGAATAATTGTATGAGAAAAAGAATGAACATATTATGTACATAAAATATAAGACAATTCGCAAGATGTAATTTCTAGGAACCTATATTTATAATAAACTTAAAGATGTGTATCTTTACAGGCAATTATATGAACGCATATGAAGTTTTACACGAATCAATTGTTGCAGATTAATTTCTTACATTAATTAATATAAATCTTTCTTTTAGTGTCAATACGGACAACAACCATGGTGCAATCAACTCCAAGCATTAGTGAAGATAGTGTTGAATACGCTCAATACGCAGCACCATCAGTGCAAAAGGATACCGGCGACTATAGTTATGGGTGCACCACCCTCCAGATCTCGCGGTAAGAATTTAGACCTAAATCCAAAGGATTGTAAATATCATCTCTCGGCGAATAATTATAAAGCAACGTATCTCTCAGATGTGTCTCAACCTTCGCTCGGTGTTGAACACGAATTGACAGCGAACACGGTGGGAGAAATAGACACAGAAACCCCGCCGCTGCGCGCACCAATCTCGGTGCATCAACGCAGTCCCGGAGGGATGCACGGACAAATGGAAACCCATTGGGAGGAGAATAACAGTCCAGCGTGCCGTTATTTCAACAAACATTTTACCAGGTCAGTAAATTTGTAGTCAATTCTATTGCACATATTGAAAAAAGTTTACTAAGTAGTAGCGTGTGTGCTAAAATTTGTCGCTACTGCGAATACTTTTGCAAAGCTATTCGATCAATGCGGATGATACGGAGTCCGAGCTGGCAGCGATCCCTGAGAGCCCAAAATCTGACAGCACCTTACATGGCAGCAGCGGAGGATCCCTTGGGGAATTGGAAGAAACGGTTCCCAGAAATGCATCTCTTCAAGAACCACGTATGTCAATCGTGTCGGACGGGACGAGTATGGTTGAGTCAAACAACCGAAACATTAGCAAGTCAAAGACGGAATCCACAACGAAGCCTACATGGTTCTTAGGTGGAAACGAAGATGAAGTTAGTCAGGTAATTATTACAATACTTGTATAAAACATAAAGTAACAAGATTGAAAAACTAAGTATTTATAAACATGTGTTAATTAAAAGTAATAATATATATATTACTGCAAAATAAATATAAATTATTAGCGACTTAAGAGCGTGTAATCTCTTGCTCCAGGGAAATAAGGGCGGTCCTCAAAAGAAGTGGAGTGTATACGAAGGAGTAAAAATGATGGTAACAAGCACATTTCTCACTGGACAACAAGAGCCTCCAAGACTTTTTCCTAAAACAGCTACACCGCCGATAAAAAACGGCAAAGGACACTTACCTTACAATGGAGATACATCGAGATCGTATGATTTATCAAGCGCGTTTGCTCTTGCAACCAGTATTTCTCATATTCAAAGGTAGGATTGGACTTATATTGGACTACACAACTTTCTCATAATAATATGTACTTATTCTCATTAATATTAAAAAAAATATATATGGACTACACAACTTTCTCATAATAATATGTACTTATTCTCATTAATATTAAAAAATATATATATATTTTTTAATATTAATGAGAATAAGTACATATTATTATGAGAAAGTTGTGTAGTCCATATATATTTTATTAATATATATTTTTATATATTTTTTTTAAACTTCTAGACCTGAATTACCAAAGATAAAGGATAAGGAGACAGAAAAGAAAGGAAAGGAGAAAGAAAAGGAAAAGGAGAAGGAAACGGAGAAGGAAAAAGAAATGGAAATGGAAAAGGAGAGAGAAAAGGAAAAAGCGCTCGTAAAACCTGCCGGGAGTAATAATATTGAGCCTTTAAACGCGAAACATTTAGGTAGACAGAAACATGTGGAACAGATCACAATTACAGCGACTTCGCCGATTTCACCTTGCCAAGTAATTACAGTGACGAACAGCGATAATTCGAGCTCGCCAGCGCTGAGTTCTTCTATATCATCACAGGTCATAAGTACAGAGAATGGACAGCAAACAGGTGATCCCCCCACTAGTTCGCAACCTTTGATAACTCCGACCGTCGAACGATTGCTTCCCATTGGTACAATAGCTCGAGCGACTGGTAAGCAATTCGCGCGCGTGTATTATCGTTTTATTAATTGATAATAAATAAGACAAGCCATTTCTTGCAGGCTCGCGAACCGCGCAACGTGTATTAAAATGCGAAGACACATATGGCTCTCCAGAATCACCGTTGTCAAAAATGGACATTTTGACAGTCAGTGAGTAAACGTTTACAGCGATAACGGAATAGACAATTAAAGAGTAAAGTAAAATAGAAAGAAAACTGACTGACCTAAAAGATTGAAATTGATTATAATATTGTAGGTTCTTCGTTCGAGCAAGATAGCGAAACTGGCTTGTCCAGCGACATTACGAGTCCGCATAGCATTTCCCAACTGGAGTTTCCAACGCCAGAACGACTGCTACCGGTTGGTCCTCAGAGAGATTTTTCCAGCTTAGTCGAGCGAGTGCGTCAGGCTCTCGATATTTCAGACATAGAAGGTTTGTACTTGGGATTTCTCGCTATTACAAATATCTATGCCTGTGTAATGTTTTTTTGAAAATTGTAACAAGCAAACGATTCGAAATATATATTTTTTTTAGATACGAATAAATCGACTGAGGATACAAAGCGTGACATTCGTGATGTGGCACTCACGAAGCAGGACAGCGGAACATCTGAAAATATGGTAAGAACGCATTTTTAATTTATGCGATCTACAAACGCATAGGATGGTTACTTTTAGGACCAAATAGATTTGTAAAAATAAAACATCTATTTATATATTATATTCATTCACAGTCAACATCACTCGTACCAACATGTAATGAAGTTAATTCGAGTAGATCGGCAAGTCCGAGAAGGCTAATTAAACAGGTGGCTTTGGAATCGTCTCCACCAGCGATCGACCCCGGAGATTTTATTTCAAAAATAGCAGACTATGACCAGAAGCTCAGAGGTTCGAAGGATCAATTTCGGATTCAACGCGACAGAGGACGAAAGATCACCGCTATAACGGATCAAGATGCGATTACACACGCGAGGCGAGCGGAGTCCTGGTAAACTCTTCAAGTTATTAGTACCTTTTAAACTATGCGAATAATTCCCATATTTTAATCCATATATTTGTCGCTTATCCGATAGGTCTGGGCCACAGGTTCAACAAGATTTAGACATCGTCTCTCAGCAAGCGTACCATGCGGATTTTAATTTAAAGCAAAGCTTATTTCGCATCGGCGACGATTGCATTTACGATAGGTAGTAGTTCGACGTGCTGGATATTATTAAGCCAAATTATCATTTATTATCGTACTGAATTCTATTCGACTAACATCACTGCAGGTGTTCGGAATGCGGAACGATAAGAGAAGAGTATTCCGACGAAGAGCTTGGATTGTGCATAATAACCTTGGGAACGTTTATTCATCGAGAACCATCTCTAGCGGCGCCATTACTGCCGGAAATACTCGGCGTAGTTACCAAGTAAATATTACCTTTACCATATGTTAAAGCTGATAAAATAAAATATTAATGTACCTGCTTGTGTGTGAACCAGGGTTTCGCTTAACGCAATGTACCCATGGCAAAGCGAAACGAATATGCACCTCCCGGGTGGTGCGGTCAGCGTAGCACATCAATTCCTCAGATGTGTTCTTCACCAATTGGCACCCAATGGAGTATTTATGCAAATGTTTCAGACTCATTTGAATGGTAAGAGTGATATGGCATGGATATAGATTAATAGACCAATTCTAATAATTTTCTTAATCTGCAAATTTTTAATATAGGCATATATGCTACAAACAATTCTTTTACAATTGTCACATATATTTGACGAGCATAATTGTCTTCCAACGTCGAGTTTCTTAAAAAAATTTCAAATAATAGGTTCCTTTTTTCTTTTGCATTCTTTCAACTTGCAGAAACGACAAGATTGCAGTTTTTCAAAAGCGTTGCACAAGCTTTGGTCGACTTTAACGAGTTAAATCCGATCGCGCCCTTGCAGTTGTTGCTTGAGGTAAGGGAGCAACTTGATTACGTGCAACAAGTACATGCTTAATTTAACAGTAAATGTTTTTGTAATTCGCTGAGCGCACTTTTGGAACCTATAGGAGAATAAAATTATACGTGTCTTGTAAAATCCGATTTCAGACATTAAATATGAAAAAATCATTATCGTTGGAACGGCTGCCAGTAATATTGTATAATATTGCGTGTTACTTGGATTGTCTACCATTGGAAGCAGGACTAGGTCCTGCTGCGGCCACGTGGAGTGGACTGCTTACACAGTTCGATGGATTGTTTCGAAGACTCGTTCTCATGCTTCCTTCCATCGAGGATATCACTCCTCTCTTGCGAATTATGATTTCGATATTAAAGGTTCCAGGAATTCAACAATCGAAGGTACTTTTATCAATAAAATTACGTGAGAATCTTCTTTCTTCCTGAATATCGTATTGTATAATTAATATTCTTTTAGGGAATGCTGGATCCATTCTCCAAAGTATTAAGTTACGCCATACAAAACTCAACACTGCAATACAATTATTTAACGGACTTGTGCTATTTGTGCCATAGAGGATTTACCCGTGATCGTGACAAACACTTTTTTGGGAGGACGCTTGTATTCGAGTTAATGCAGGCCATTAAATTTAAGATTACAATACCGGACTCCAATTTTTTGTTACTGCTTCAGTTTGTGCTCCAAGTAAGTATAAATTGTAATATTTATAACATGCATCAAGATTTTCAGTTTAAACTTTGCATAATTTAATTATCTTATAATTAAAAATTGATAAATCGAAAAAAATAACAGTGACAATATGATTAACGTAGGACATTGGAGGATCCTTGCCTAATAGTGTCGTGGCGATGGAGAATAATATTCAAACAGACATGTCGCCGATCTACAACACGAATGCCTCTGAATCTTTAAAGAATCAGTTGTCGGATGTCCTAGACTTTCTAACTGATTTTCATACTTTAAGCAAGATCAAGGTAGGACATTTCGCGTGCACATGTGTGTCAAATTGATCGCTAGTTGATAAGATTCTGCGAAGTTTACTTTCGTTCGCTACTTAAAGGACTTCACTTTATTCAGAGTTACAACAAAGGTATGCAAGCGGGATTGAACGAGGACACGATAGGTGGGATGTTAAAGTGTGGCCTTGCTCAATACGTAGCTTTAGAAATTACGAGAGGCAACAATAGAGAGAACAGAGCCGTCGCGCGTTACTTACCATGGTTATACACCGCACCGTCTATAACGCAAGGGTAAGCTATTTCTATCGCTATCGTCATCTCTCTTGTATTTTCTGCCATTAATAAGATTTTATCTAATTAATCGTGGAAGCTAATTGAACGCGATTTTTTCTACCAACATTTTAGAGCTCGCGAATACGTCGATTGTATCGGCCACATCAGACTGTTATCCTGGCTGTTACTGGGATCGCTTACGCACATAGCAATGTTTACTGGCAACAATAACAGTCATTCTCATTCAACGATACCATTGGCGCAACCGATACCTCAAGAAGTGTCTTGCCACATCGCGGATCATATACAAGTCATTTTCTCGGGATTTCCGGAACAATCGAAAACCTCGGTTCTCCACATGTCGTCGCTGTTCCACGCGTTCATCCTTTGCCAAGTATTTATATTATATAGATTGCAATTAGATTGTTAAATGTTAAAAATTCCTCAATCAATCTCTATTGACTTGCATTATATTTACGACCGTAGCTTTGGACGATGTATTTGGAAGAAATGTCGAAAAATAACGTAACAAACAGTGAGAGCCACAATGTCACCATGAATATCTTGTTGGAATTTTGGGGCAAGATAACGCCATGCATTTTGCAACTCGTTTCCTACTCAAAAGCTGTAAGTGTAATTCTCGATGTTGTTTGAGTCAGAGGTCTACTTACCTAAATTGACACAGTCGCAACGAGCTTGAGGCAACGACATGAAAAGACAATTTTATTTTTAGCTCTCTGAAATGCTTAATTTGCATTTCTTAAGCTTGTTAGAGGCCTTGTTGGAATGCGGATCGATTCTGTTGAGTAAATTACTACCTCTATGGAACGCCATATTATTTTCTCATCATGTTCAGGTAAGAATAGAATGGGAAACAAAACCAAACAATTGCAACTGAAAGTACCTTGACCAATCGTTGATTTGTTCGATTAGCTACCAGGGCACTTACAAATGCGATTGCAGAATTGCCGCGACTTTCCACCAAACAGAATGGCGGAGAATTTCGTTACTAATCGAAGAGAATCGAACACGATACTCTTACGATGGTTGCATCGTTTGCAGTTTAAGATGGGTCAAATAGAAATGCAATCTTCTACCGCCACGCAATTCTATTCTATTTAAAGAAAAAAAACGAGCTTAAAAACGAGCTTTACGAATTAGATAAATATTCGTTAAAGAAAGAAAATAGATCAAATAAAATGGAATGTTACAAGAAAAGTAGTTCTTTAAATTGTAACTACCATAATTTTAATAAACCGTTAAATTTAAACTATATAGCAAGTGTTATTTTATGCACTAAGTATCATAAATATTTTTTATTTTACATTATGGTTTTTACCATATTTACTTTGTTCAAATATCTTTCAGTTTCGCAATTTAATTTCTACATCAACAATCTTGTATCACAAGATTTTATTTTCACATTTAAAATTGCGATAAATTAATGCAGATATAAGATCTTGTAGAAAATAATTTTTTTATTGAACAGTGTTATGTTAATATGTCAAATGTACAAAGAAAATTTGAGATGCAATCTTTTTAAATTAATTAAATATGGATATGGTGGATGAAAAATAATTGAAAGAAGTGCTTAAACATTCCATATTAATAGCGTGTTTATGCGTTTGTAATACATAATTTAAGTACTATGTGCAAGGTTGTTATTTAATGATCGCGTAAGGAATTTCGATTAAGTTAACGTTTCGAACTTTATACAATTCCAATGTTTATACCGTCGTTGTTGTCGTCGTTGTTGATGGTCCTTTTGGTTTAATCATCATCATTGCTCGTTTTAGAGTGTAGTCCCAACCTCTCCAGCGGAACCATACGATACCTTTCGCGATAATGTAATTTTTATTCATTAATGCAGATTCAGAATTTAACTTGATTTTTCCGTAATTGACGCTCCCTATCGCGTTAGTTAAAAGTACGCAACTTTCTTTCAATTTGAATATCTGCAGTCTAGCGATTTATTAATTAACATACCTTGTCGTGCAGTAAGATCTTGTGGATCATTCAGATAAAGACCATTTAAGCCACGTCCACAAGATTTCCACCACCAACCACCCTTGAGCATCGAAGCACAATTCAAGGATGATCTGTCGTTATCCCTGAAAGCATAAATATCTCTAAATCTAATGATTTCACAGTAAATATAAGTTTCCATATCATCACAGTGGTAGGAGAATCTCTCATTTATTATATATAATAAACGTTTCATGTCATTTATTTCACAAGTTGTATCCTACCTGTTGTACGTGGAGAACGGACTATTATTCGATCCGTACCAAGGATCGTTGAGTGAATCTCCGGCATTTCCTTCGTATCCATCTATCTCCAATTTATAATACTCTCCCTCTGAATAAATCTTAAAATGCGAATACTGTGCGTACCTAATGAAATCAAATTACAATTGTACTCGAACGATTTCAATTTATACCTGCGCGAGGTATTACCAGTACGAAAACTGTAAGGCTACGCATTCGTTGTTAGTATCCCTTCAACAGTAGTAAAAAAAGCTACGAGAATCAATCTACAGTTTAGGCATATACCTTTTGTTACCTTCGAAGTCCTCAAGTTCAACTCTGAGCATGTAATCTTCATTATTTGTTAACATATATATGTTTTCATTGCCTAGCCAAAATTCTTTGGCGGGATCCCCAAATCCGTTTTTATAATCCGCCCAATCTCTATTAAAGTTCTCCCTTGGCTCTCCAAAATCATCTCTCCTTTGAATAACCTTCACATAAAGATTCGTTGTAAATTATTATTAATTATTACGTGTCCTCTCTCTCTCTCTCGCCATTTCTAACTCCGATAAATAATAGCAATCAAATTTAGTGCCATCCCATATATGTATATTGTTTAATACATTATAACAATTTAAACTCACCGTCCAGCCACCGTCAGCAGTTTCCTGTTCACAAAAGACTTTAAGGAACCAATATGTCGTACCGCGTATTTGTAGGTAATATACCCCGCTGTCTCTCATTCCTCCGTTTAGTAAATCGATGCAAGAATAACCCTGAATTCACGAGAGAAAATAGTGGAATAAATTAAGATCGATACCAAAATACTTTCTGCTCTTTGAAGTAAATTTTTGCTCTCGCGAAAGGTATCTGACAAAATCAAGTGAAAGTAAAAGTATGTATCAGAGTAATCTCAAACACTCTACTGGCTTTGAAACGATATCTTTGAGAAGGAAAAGAACCACACGAAATATTGAAATACCTTGATATCCTTATAGTTGATTAATATGTCGCTTGTAAAAGTAGAATTGGATAAACTCGGTTTGTTTTTAACACTCGGGAATATCACTCCCCGATTTCTGCTATTCGGTCTCGCGGTACTTGAAGACGTTGTCGTCATGGGTGTCGTGGAACTAGTGGGATTGCTCGAGGGTGAAGCGACGGACGACATCGATGTCGTAGTCGACAAGGGCGGCGAGACAGTGGGTAGCGTAGACGTGGGCACCTCCGTTACAAAATCTTCAGTCACACTCACGTACCTTGTAGTAAAGAACACAGTGTGAGAATTGGTTTGTACTTGAGGTGTTTCTTCTACTTATGGAAAGTACTTTCGATGAACCGGAGAAATTTGTAGAAAGTTTTCGTTGGCGAACAATTAAATTGCAATAAATCGTCACTTATACTTTTTCGTTCGAACTGTCGAACGCTACGAAAACAATTGTCATTTGTATATATTGCGTTGTAGCCATCGCGTGATCGTCGATAACCACTTTGGAAATTATTTCTGTGTGAGAAAGGCTCACCTGCTTGGGTCGTATTCGACGAGCCTGTCGATTGTCGGATCCAGTAACAATTCAGCTGGTATCGGGCGTTGCGCGAGAGTTGCCACATCGTCCTCCTGCTTCCTCAAGCGGCTTTCGACGCCCTCCAGGTTTTCGATGATCTTGTTTGTCTTCGACTTCAGATCGGCATGAATTTCGTTAATCGCTCTCTCTTGCCTCTGGGTCTGAGTGAGCAATTCGTCGGACTTCGGCAGCAGATCGTCCACCGAACTCTTGGTCCCCACCTAACGTTATTCAAATTAACATTACGCTCTTCTCGATGTAATTACCAATTCAATCTTGGGAGTTTTTCATCTTTCAAATCTAAGAGGTTACTTGAAGAAGTTAAAAGTTTACTTGAGAAATTTTAGAGTAATTTTCGACACTTGAAGTAAGTTTTAGATAGCCTGTCCAAGTTCCCGCTGGAGAGCCGCGCGGCATAGCACTTTTCACAATTCCTAAAGTTCTCTTTCAAATGCTTAAAGTGAGTTCGAAGTTTGCCTTAAAATAAAAGTTTCAAGCGTCCAGTATATCTTCCCAAGGGTACGCGCAAAACTAATCGTAATTTAATGTCAACGCTGATTTACACACTCGCCACGAATTGGAAAACTCACCACCACGTTCCAAACTTGGTCCATCTTCTCGGAAACGACAGTTATCGGGTACATTTGTTCGGCAAGACGGTCGATCTTATTGTGCTTCGTCGGGGCCTCGGTCGTTGTCGCGTTAGGACGATTGTGCCGATTGTTCCCGTAATTTTTCTCGACAATAGCGTCGTGCACGTCACTGATCATATTGTACACCGCTCCGAGATTGTCCGACATCAGATTCATATGGAACTGCAGCTTTCGGTCCATACTACCCGTCGCTTGCTTAAGATTCTCAATCCCGAGCGTCATATGGTTCATCACCTCGTTACTCATAGCCTTGGTGATCTCGATGACGCTCATACTGACGGGCTTCTTCTCGCTCGCCTCGGCGTTTATGTCATCGTTTTGCAAGAAATTGTTGTCGAGCTGATTCTTAAGATTGACAAGCTTGTGGTCGATGTCGGAGACCTTCTGGTCCAGGGAAATTAATTTCTCGCCGAGTGTCTCCGGCGCTGGTTCGTTTTGATCGTGATGAATCACACGTATAAATGGGGCTGCAACATTTCACATTGAATACCGTAACGCGGCTCGATTTGGAATTGATATCGTCGCGATACAATGAAAGTGAAACACGTTTCTTCCCGGATAGCGCGCTTAGTTCCGCGCATATTCTTCTCGAGTGCAAGAGACCGGAGCCGACAGCTCGTGTAAGATACTTTAAAGTCCAGTACAATATTTTCTCCTCGCGCATTCCACTCGAAAGAAGGAATCGAGAGCGGCCGAGTAGTCAAAGTACAATTTCGTGAAAATATCGTGTACGTCTCGTACTTACCATCCTCCGTGCTGCCGCTCTTGCTATCGGCAATTCTCGTCGCGGCCTCCGCGGATATCATGGGATACGCATTGAAAAGCTTCAAGTCTAACGTCCTAAGCTTGGTAATGACCGCATCCGTCTTGTCAATGTTATCGTTTACGCGTGAATCTAAAGCCTCTACTCTTCTCATCAGGTGCTCCACCGCCTTATCTAAATTCTCGATTCGCTGTAACTTGGACTCCAAAGTTGACACTATTACTTCGAAGACGTTGAAAAGGTATTGCTCTCTACAACAGATAACATTCGTGGCCTTCTAATTGCTAGCTCGCATCATATCCGCCGGTCTGTCAAAACGGGCGCTCGCCAATTATAAAGTCAATCATTTAGATATCTACTCTGGTCTATGCTCTCGATTATCGTTAAAGCATTCGTTAACGAGCGCATCGCTGATGATTCCCGCCATTAATTCGACATCGCCGATATAATTCGCCGTAACGAGTCTCTTTCGTTTCACGCGCGGCAACGAGCGGAGTAGATCGAGTAATTTTTCGACGATAAAATTACAATGCCATTATATTAAACCACTTAACTATTCCGCTCGTCATTACGTTAAACGAAAGAGGCCTCTCGTTACGGCGGGTAAACCGCGAATCAAACATTTGCCGCCTGGCTCTCAAACGCTCCACCGAAGATGCATCGCACTTAGTGTCATTAACGTAAAGCTGCAACATCGCGTGACGCACGGTTATGAATACATTCGCGGACTAAATGGAAAGTTTCGTAAGCGGAGTATCGGCAAGAGCTTTGGGAGTACGATCGACTGGTTTACGTAACGAGCGCGGCTAACCGTTCGGTTCTCCCCATCTGCAGCAGATCTCTGTTATTACGGTCCATTTTGTACTTAAGGGGGAGGTGCACTATTAAAGCCTCAAAAATAGGCGGTTTTTAAAGATTTTTTTTACATGTACTTAAACGCAAAAATACATTTTTTAAAAATGAAGCTTCAATTAAGTTTGTACAATACCTAAAAATGTTTGTCAAATATTTTATTGGTGACAAGACTGGAAAACGGCGCATCGTGGCTAGCGTTGTGCGAATTTAATAGTGTACCCCCTTAATCCCTAAAAGCCGTGACACGCGAAAGGAGAGTCGAGACGACGTTCGCGCGTCGAGAGGGAGACGCGAGAAAGGGGAGGGAGAGACGTCCTCTCTCGTGCTCTCTCTCTCTCTAAATTCTCACCTATTTCGCTGCAGATTGCGGGAGGACGGCTGCGACGTCGCGCCGGTGCTGTTGTGGCTCGTGCTGCGCGTGCCGCGCTGATCGGCGGACGTTCGGGGCAGCCTCGGACTTCCCGCGAGGACGAGGCCCAAAACGCAGGCGATAACGAGCGCCGTTCGCCTCATAGCTGCGGTGCTCCGCTTATCCGGGTGTCCCTGGAGAAAAGCCTCGGGGGGGGGCGCCGCAACGTAGGACCCGGCGTATACGCGGCTCACGTTTGAAGACGTAGGCGCGCGGTCACGTGGACGGGTGCATGCGCGAGAAGCTCATTCGAGCCGCGATTAATCGAGCGGGGAATCCCAAGAATGAAAAGAACGCGCGCGCGCGCGCGCGCTTTCGACTGCCCTCCTCCCTTCCCGCCTTGCCGCCGGATTTCCTTCAGCCTCGTCGCGCGGGCGAATAGACATTTATACGTCCGCTCCACGCTCACTCGCACGCGCACCCCGGTTTATCACATAGTGTCGCGGGGGCATAAGCGATGCCGCGATCGAGGGGTTGCTTCGCGCGATCGATTCCGCGCATAACCGCGCGGACGGGGGGGGAAGAATCCGACTCAAACTCTTCCGCACGGATCCGCGCGCTGCTCGGCTCGGGGCGCACGGAGCGAACGTGACATATCTTTCGGGGACGCGTCGATCGTACGCGCCGCGAGCGATTTTCACTCCGAGATAGTGCACGCGGGAAAGTCAATTGTTGCTATTACGCGCCGCTCGCCCGGGGATAATATGGGAAAATCGATTGTTATTATGTATACCGTACGGTCGGGAATAATGGGGTAAGATCAATTGTTGTTATTACGTCTACGATTTTCCGCGTTACGCCCGCGATCGCACTCGCGCCGCGCACGAGACAGGAAGAGTTTCTCGCGGAGAGGTAGCTTCGTTTCTTTTTTTCTCTTTTTACCGCGCACTTGCACTCTCTTCCTCGCGGGCCGGAAACCAACGTGATTGCGATACAAACTGCCGTGTAGAACACGTTGAAGGAAACACGTTCCAATTTACGTCACCGGAAGTCGTGGACTCGGCCAGCCAATTTTTGATCGCCGTCCGGTCGAGGCGTCGCCGCGTGAAATTTTGCGTATCTCTCTCTCTCACTTTTCTTTTTCCGGCTCTTCCTCCTTGTTGCGGTGCCGCTGGTAACGCCGTCGCTCCTCGTATCGGCCCGTAGATCGAATTCTTGAGGAACAGGCGCGAGGGACAGCTGACGAGAAGATTGATCGCGACGAAGGTGCGCCGGACAAGTGTATAGAAAGTCGGGGAGAGCACGTCGCGATTGAAATATTGCGTGCGCGCTCCGTGGATGAGTCAACTCGATACGGTAATTAATTAGCGGGGCGATTAGAGCGGATCTCCGTTGTTCCTCTTTTTTTTCCTCTCTTTCCACCGAAACTTTTCCCCCCGTTTCCTCCCTCTTTAGAGCGGGTCGACCGTGGAACCGGTCGATCGGAGCCGCACGGGTACGTACGTCGCACGATCGCACGGGAACAACACGCTACGGCATGGCACGTCGGTCGCGGATAGCCGACGAGAGCGCGACGGGCACGCAGTTTTCGGTCAACTGTAAGACTTTACTTTCACATTAAAGTGGCCGCGCGTTCGCGCGCGCGCGCGAACGTAGCGAGCGCTCTCGACAGCTCGCGACAGCCGCTCTCGTGAAACCCTTCTCTCCCTCCCCCGCCACCGCTCTCGCGCTCTCGGACTCTCACTACCATTCCTTTTCAGCATGGAGAACCAGAGTCGGTCCTGGTCCCGTTCTCCAGTCTCGGTCGACCTGTACAGGTGGCGGTGAACACGGCGGTGAAAGGGTGGGGTACGTGAGACCCCGCGGAACCCCGGGCTACCTTTCCCGCGCCACTCCGCCCGTCGCTGCCGCGGCGAGTTGCGAGTCGCGACCGGGGACCTTTGCGGGGAACGAAACCGAGAGTGGCTGGCCCGGAATGAAAGGGGACCGAGCGTTGCGTCGGCGTCCGGTTATGGATTTTCATTCAGGAAATACTCACGCACACGCGCATACACATACACACATACACGTACACCCGGGCCTGCCTCGGATCTCTTTTCGCGGCGATTATCGTAACGCTTTGTTCTCAGGGCCCTTTACTGGGCGGACTCCAAAGAGATCGTTCTGCAACACTGAGGTCGAGAGACATGAGAAATCAGCTTTGTGGCGAGCTGCATGTTAAACTCGCTCGAATCGCCTGTACTTTCTTTACGACAATATTATTTCCCGCGACGATTAAAATTGAATAAGGGGCGAATTGCTTTTTTAAATCGACCATACTGGCAAAAATGATGCTCGTTATTTTAGTCACGACGTTTCGACCTCTCTATCGGGTCCTTTTCGAGTACAATCTAAAGTTGACTGAACATTTCCATTTATGCCGAAACAGAATGGGTTCATAAGTCTGTGGCAACAAATTCATTATATCATATACATATGTCTCGGTGGTCAGTGGATTTATAATGGTGATGCCAATTTCTACAGTTTCCAAGTAGCAACCGTTTTCGCATCTCGAATAAAACTGTTTTGTTCAGTTTTATTTTGATTTATGCCGAAACAGAATGGGTTCGTGAGTCTGTGGCAACAAATTCGTGATATCACATATGTCTCGGTGGTCAGTGGATTTATAATGGTGATGTCAATTTCTAAACTTTCCAAGTAGCAACCGTACGTTTTTTGCATCTCGAATAAAACTGAATAAAACAGTCCACTGACTACCGAGATCATGAATTTGCTGCCACAGACTCACGAACCTGTTTCGGCATAAACTTAAATGTTCAGTCAGCTTTAGATTGTACTTGAGAAGGATCCGATAAAGAGATCGAAACGCCGTGACGAAAATAAAGATCATCATTTAAAAAAAAATTCTCCTTGGTTAATTACCACAGGCGACAAAAAGCTATACTTAAACTTGCTTAAAATTGAACAATCAAAGAAGACGCCGTTCTCCGTCGGACTGGATCCTGGTAGCCTTTTCCGTTCAAAATAGAATATGATCAGAGTACAATGCAATTTCAATGTAAATAAATAAGAATCTTATTAATTTCCATTGAAATTGTATGTAATCTAATAGCCAGAAAATGAAAAGCCGGGCCTTGAAGTGCAGTTCCTCGTCGATCGACGTAAACTTTTGCTGAAAAGCACATCCTTTTTAAATCGCTGTACAGAATTCATTGCGAAAAAATTGAAATGAAAATTAAAAGTCTGGTTTGAAAGTAATTTTGCAGAAGCGCTGTGCTCTCTGTTCAATCTGAAACCTCGCGTTACGCAAGAGCTAATCGCCTCTGATTGCGAGTCTTAATCGTCGTGACGTCTTTCTTGCGAAGACGCTAACGAAATCATTATGCAGTATGCATAAAGATCGAGAATTACGAGGACATTTACGGCTCGCGGTGTTTTTTTCGTAAACCCAACACGGCGAACGTGAATGTTGAACCTCGCCTGGTAGCCCTGGTAACTTTTCAGCGACGTCGATACCGTCCCATATGTAAAAACAATTAAGATCGAAGGTCTTTCAACTTTGTAAATGAGATCTCCGCAGCACGATAAGAAAACGCTGCGCTTCTTCGATCGGGCACGCGCAATCTTGTGTTATGAAGCCAATCGTCCCTGACTTTTCCCCATCGCGAATCGGACTTATCGTTAAATTTCCTTGAATAACATGATAGAATGTAGGCGTAAAAATGCGCGATTTCAAGTACACGCGTACTATTATCTAAGGAGCGCCAACGCGCACATAACGTATTATTAATACGCGCTTGATTGCACTGGCTTTAAAACAGCATTAACCCATTATAGACCGCCAGCAATCTGTGGACCGCCAGAAACTAAAAAGTTCAGAACATTAGGTCGCAACGTGTAAAATATTATGAAAAAAATGGAAAGTGCTCGAATTTAATATGTTTGGGCAGTTTTATGCAATTTTCAATATTTATACACGTTTGCGCACGAAAAATTACGCACAGGTGGTCCAGTTCGTTGGAATGCGCTGCCGCGATATACATTGAATGCGCATTTAATGCGGGAAAAAAAATAGGAGCATCAAATGCGAATTTAAATGTATACGTTTAATGCACGTTATACGCGCATCGGCGCTCCTTGGGTGCCTATTACATCACTTGCAGCGATAATAAGTACACGTCGTGGTCTGTGATCTCGCAGGCGTATGACGATGACTAATCACAGCTAGTCTAACGCGAGTTAAAAATGACGTGGACATTTTTATTCTCCGCAATGCTGACGGAATGGTCGCGCGCAGTCCGTCAATGCCCGCCGAGCTTACCGGAATTCCGAGGATCGGCGCCCGCAAGGTGACGATAACGAGGGAAAGCGGTGGCAAATTAAAGAGGGAAAAGAGGAGCCCGGAGGTTTTGTGGGTAAGTGAAACGGCGCGGAGACGATTGTCGCCCGCGACCGCGGGACGATCGAATCCCCGACCGGGCGCGATTGTGAGAAGCGGAGGAACGGGCGCGATCGGGAACGCTGCGGGCGAAGTCTCGTTCGCTTATTACATCGGGGATACTGGAGTAAGGCCGAATCGCGGCGCGCCGTTGGAGAACGGTTGTATATCGCCTTGAAATATCCCGGCCCGGCTATGATACAATCTCCGCGCGATTATTATGTGCCTCTCGATCGTTAAGCAATCGGGATCGATGGAAAAAACGGATCTCCCTCTCCCTGGCTCTCTCCCCGAGGGTGATCCGCTCGCATATCCGATCGCGTCCGCGTCCGAGAGCGTGTCAACGAACGAACGGACTTTCTCTCTCGCTCTCTCGCTCTCTCGCTCTCTTTTTCGCGGGGGCGGCGATCGGCGGAAAATCGGATGATCGTCCCCCGCTGATCTCGCTCGCGGCGCGCGTGGCCGCGCGTGCGAAACGAGCGCACCGCGAGGCTTGACGCAACGGGCGCTGAGAAACGAGTAAATTATAGGGATCGCGATAACTATCGTTCTTTCTTTCTTTTTTTTCCAATGGCGTTACCTGCGCGAACAATGAGCGGCGCGTACGCCGTGAGATAACGCTGAAAAGTTAATAACACGCGGGAGATTGAAAATGTAACGTATGGAAACGACATGGCGTCGCCCTGCAATTTGTCGTACTTTTCGACGCGACGGACGTACGCAATCGGCGACGTCGCGAGGAGAGAAGAAGAGACGAGGAACACGGGGTTCAGCCGCGAGGAACGTGCGAGTGGTGCTCCCGCGACAGGTGACCTCGCGGTACCCAACCTGTTGCTCGCGGGAAAAAAGAAATAAGAACGAGGCAACGCGCCGCCGCCGCCGCCGCCGCCGCCGCGTTACCAACAATATGTTCCGCCGAGAGCCGCGGGTTCTCCGCGAGAATTATCCTTCCGGACTCCTCGCGGGCTTTTCGGACGCTTCCGCGAGAAAACGGCCGGCGATAGTTTTCTTTTCTTTCTCCCATTCTTTCGTTTTTGTTCCATCGGATTCCCCCTGCCTAAATAGCGCGGATTGCGTCACACTTTCGAAAACGAAAGTGCAACGTATGAAAGTCACGATTACGCAAGCGGCTAGTACAAGTCGGTAGGTTCGTAAATTGTATAGGGTCGCACTGTGTGTACGAGTGCCATGCCATGCCATGCCATGCCGCCGCGCTGAAACGTAAAGATCTTGGTCAACTTTGCGGGATAAGATGCCGATTGTTCCGCCGATACCGATTTCCCCGTACGCGCCTACCGATCGCTCCGTTCGCGCTTTTGATAAGAGAAGCGCGGCATCCTCCTCGCCTATAACTTTCTGTTTATTCAAATCGACGATCTCTTCCTTGGGAATTTCTCTTCTTGTTTTACGGGTATATACGATTCGCCTCGCGTTTTTATTCGCCCGGTAAAGTGAGCGGATCGAATTGTTCGCCAGTTCGTTTAGGACGAGTGATCCGTGCCGTTAACAAGGATCCACGAGCGATTTGCACTCGGTAAATGAATAAATAGGTACACGGACAGAATTCTCTCTTGAAATTCACCCTGGAAATCATGTAATCGTGGAACGGCGTGGCACTTTCAAGAACTTTATAAGAATTTTCATTTCACCATACGTTTTATTAATAAAATGGATACTAACGTTAGTTCAGTTGCTGGTAAAATGTATGGCAAAATTTCAGAAACTCTCATAAAATTGGAAGACAAATCGTTAAACTGGCAAAGGTGGTTTAATTTAACAATTTGTTCCGACGTTTCGACCATCCAGAGGAAATATCTTCAGAATATTGGAGAAACTTGTCCGTTTAACAATTGGCAGTTTAGCCACCGAGACGAAATGAGATTCACGATTCCCTGGCGAATATAATATGTTTATAAGAAGTTTGTTAAAATGTTGAGTCAATGCTTTATTCGAGTTTTAAAACATTTATTCGCTGAGAAAAGTTTCCATCGAATAAACCAATTAGATAGTGTTTCCGATGGTTGGCTTTTCCGATTACGTTCTCCGATTAAATTTATCCGATGAAACGCAGTTACCCACGAAATTTGATCGCGAAGCCGATCATACTTTTCATCGGATTTACAATTTAATCGGATATATCCGTTTGTTATTATGTAATTAGATTATCCGATTATATTTAATCGGACATTTTTCTCAGTGTTGAATTGTTTGTGAGATGTAAATTTAAACATGGAGTCGTTTGTGACATGTTCGCGGTTACAAGTGTTCAAATTGCGTTTAATGATACAATGGCAAACGTTTCCATTCTAGTTTTCCAAGTGTTTGTAAAATGTTGTTGTCAGTAAAGAATTGACCAGGTGTTTGCAAACGTACTTCCAAACGGTGTAACCAATAAAACTCTTCATAAATAAATATAAACGTCATCTCTCGCTTAAAATTTTCGCCAGGACTCTACGCTTACATAGATTAGTTAAAAATGGAAAAAGATGTCATCCGTTTCTGGATCCGGTCGGAGAAAACTGTGTTTTAAGGCACGTCCATCCGACGCAACAACCACAGTGGACTACGGCCAGGGACGTTACATCGAAAAGACATGGCGAACACGAAAGATAAATAAATGGAAACAAATATCTCGTACGATTCTCCGAAACGCCATGTTGTCCCACGATTACATGACTTTCAGGCTACATTTTAAGAGAAAATTCTCTCCGTGTAAGAGCGAGTTTTACATTTTGTTGCCGATGGGTGTACATTTTTCGTTTGGAAATGGATTGAGGTATTTTAAGCGTATGTACATAAAATCTCTCAAACATATTGTATACTGCGTCACCTCATAAATAATGCAGTGTAAAAGGAAGCTTGATTTATTCTTCGGCTTAAAATCGAGGGACTTTTATCGCCAGGGATTTGAAGGTTCCAGGATTGAAAGGAGCTGTAAATAATAATGGGAAATATATCTTGAATTACGATTAAGCTGTCAGGTTTTTATTTCGTTTCAAAACTAACTTGGAGAGACCGCATTACTTATCGAGATGATCCAAGGAGCGCCAAACGTGCTTTTGACGCGCGTTTTATTTCACACTGGCTTCAAAACTATTCAAAATGCGCGAATTTAACATGTTTCGGCACATCTGAGGTATACAATTTTATATAATTCTCCATATTTATGCACGCTTATGCACGAAAAATTATGCATAGGGGTTCAATGGTACAGTTTCGTGGAATGCGCTGCCACAATATGCATTAAATGCGCGTTCTATGCGGAACAAATACGTGCGTTAAATGCGAATTTAAATGTACGTTTAAAGCGCACTGGCGCTCCTTGGGGACACAATGTGTGTATATATAAACACGGTTTTTTGAGACTATATATAACAGACTTAAGTAGACTATCGTAGGAAATACCGTTTCTCAACTGGAAACGGGTAAAGGCACTTTAATTGGAGAAATGGTGGTCAGTATCTCGCCACGCCTCACACTCCTCTCTTTTCCTTCCTTTCTCTGTTGCGCGTTTGGTATAAAAATAACTAACAGATGTAAGCGACACAACCGTACTCCCGAGCGCCTTTCATTCTAGGTAAAACGTTAAAGGTGAACAACCTATTTAACGCGTAAAGAATGTACAGCTTTAATTCCATCGTATACATTTAACTACTTCGCTATTTAAATAAAAAGGCGGCGGGAGGAGGAGAGAAAACTGCGACAGATGCAGACGGACGCAGATACACAGAACTCCTTTCAGCGAATGAATTTAGAACTGATTGGAATAAGATTGGATGTGAACCAAGAGTTATCGCATATACATTTCGTAATGTTTATAGCCTACCCAAGGAGTGCCAGTGCCCAAGGAGAAGAAAAAGTCAGGATGATGTCAATTTCATGTCATATATAATTGATCAAATTTATGTCAAATTGGCATCATCCTGACTTTTTGTTCTCATTGGGTGTAATGCGTTCTAAGGGAATCCCTCAGCCATCTTTCTTACCGATGCAGTCAAATATAGTTTTTGCGCTTGTAATTCTTTTTATTAGCCTTTATGCACAAAATAATACCAGGATAAGTTGCGGACCGCACAGCAGAACGCTTTCACACTTAAAACACTCAGCTCAGAAGTGAAGTAAAAACGAACTACGAATCGAAAATTTCAAATACCAGTATCGTTTTTATTAGACTCCTGAACCGAGTGTTTTAAGTGCGAAAATGTTCTGCTACGCGGTCCGCAATTTATCCAGTCGTTATTTTGTGCACACTGAGAAAAATCTCCATCGGATAAACCAATTAAATAGTGTTTCCGATGATTAATTTTTCCGATTAAACGATGGATACATCCGATAAAATTTGATTGAAAAATCGATCACATTTTTCATCGGGTATATCCGTTTGTTATTATGTAATCGGATTATCCGATTGTATTTAATCGGATACTTTTCTCAGTGCATGAAAGCACGTTATATGCACATTGACGCTTCTTGGGTAATAACAATTTTTGAAATGGAGAACGCGATAACGAAAATAATATAAGCGATGCTTCGCCACGATCGTCTCCAGTAATCGGTCTCTTATCACCGAAGTGATACAAGGCAAACATACAGTTCGCGCGGTGAATTATCCGTTCGATTCCGCGTCACGGTGATTTGGAACAAAGCTTAGAATTGTTACTCTGTCGCAAGGGACAAGCGAGCAACATCCGCCCGATCATCGCGAGATAGAAGCATCGACGCAGGAAGAGAAAAAGAACATGGCAGACAAGGAGATTGTGATGGACGAGCGATTGCACGATTATTTGCGCGCATACGCGAAAAGCATCAGGCTGGGAGCCCCGAGAATTCTCATAACCGAGGGCACCAATAAGGGCGACAATTACGTCAGCTCCGTTTATCGCGTCACGATCGAGGGCATCGGGGACGGCGGGGCCAAGAAAATTCAGCTTATTCTGAAAACCACGCAGAACGACGCCATACCGTTGCTGACCACCAGCAAAGTCACGAAGATGTTCCAGCGCGAGATGTTCTTCTACCAGGAGGTGTGGCCCATTTTCACGGAGACGCTCAAGGGACGCGGCGGGGTCGCCGACCGCTTCCCCATTTTGCACGACGTTAATGACGAATCCGGAAAAGAGGTAATTTCGCGGCTCACCACCGCTCAACGTGATCTGCGCCGATGAAGCAATAACTCACGTACGGAGCCGGAGTATCGTGTAATCGCATATGTAAATTCCACTCCGCCGTCTTTACATAATCTCTTTTCTTGCGCGGATATAGCGCGGCCACGTAATGAGGCCGTAAGATACAATCGACAGTCACTTTTTCTTTTCTTTTTTTTTTTTTGAGGAAGTTAAATATTTGAGTTAAATAATTGCGAGGAACAATCGCGATCGCTGCGAGCGTAAAATCGCGTACGCCATTGTTGTACCCGTACACATCTTTATTATCTTCCATCTCGACCAGCCATTTGACTTTGCACCACGTCCTCGGGACAATGCGTTTCACGATGCGTTGCTAAATTGGCTCGGCGAGATTTATACGTGTAATAAAACGCAGGCATCATGTCGCGAAGTGAAATGTCGATTTATAGTGACACACACGGGCGCACGCGGGCACGCATATATACGCGCGTGGCCCGGGTATAATAAACTGGTTTAAAGATTATCAAGTGAGACATAAGGTCCGGTTAACCTTTGCATTACGCAATCTTCTCGCTAATGGCCAATCTGCATTTGAGCATTTATACTACGAGGGAGTCTCTTACTTTGGTGCGCGCGGCGTTTCGCTCCGCGAAATTAATTGTCGATCCTGAAATTTAATCAAATTCGGGAAAGAGAACGTCCCGGGGAAACTTTCCTTCAATTAGACCGCGGCCCCCCAATTATCCGTTCCAAGTCCACACCGCGTTCGGGGTTTTACGTAAGAGAACGGCCGGCAATCACAAATCGGTATAAATAATGTTATATCTTCCGCAATTTTTGGAGCCATTTCACCATTCGTATTTAGCGGTAAAAGTCGATATAATCAACGCTAGGCACGCGGTAGAGGAGCAAAGTGTCCGATAATTAGATGGTTCGCGAAAGTACACTTCTCGATTCTCGTTCGGCACGTAACATCACGTACGTAATATCTCTGACATTTTGATGGGAGAATTTTTGCGCGTCACAAAACGTACAATAAAAAAAATTGCCAGCGTAATTGCCCCCCCCCCCCCCCCGACAGGAACTACGTGCCCCTATCTTATCTCGTCTTGCCCAAAGTACGGTGTCTCATCTAATCTATAGTAATTTAGTTTTTTTTCATTGATAAGACCTTATCGGAGAGGAAACTGGGAAGAAGCTAGTTTGCAATTCCTATTGTGTAACTCGTATATGTAATTTACAGCTGTTTCTTGCGAGAAATTTGTTTACGTTACGCACGCGCACTTATAGATGCACGTGCCTCGACATAAAGACGCTTATTCATCGACAAACAAGTACAAACATCGACTCGTAAGATGACGTGACTCGACAACATTGTGATTATCATCCTCGAGTTATCTCATAACATGATAAACTTTCACATGTTTCTCATCTTGCACGATTATAGAGATTAGATTCGTATCTTTTCTAAGGAACGCTCCAAAGTGATGAGAGAAGCGAACGTTTGGATAACGGCGTGCAATTTTTGCCGTAGATAATTATGTTGGAAAATCTAACGCCTCGAGGTTTCGTGATGGCCAAGTCAAAAATTTTGGATTATCCGCATCTCAGGCTGGCGTTTCGATGCCTAGGCGAGTTCCACGCGTACAGCTTCATTACGCGTTACGCGAATCCGAAGAGCTTCGAGAAATTGAAGGGGATGGAGGAAAACTTGTTTGTTGAACAGCCAGAGACGGTCGACGAGGAAATAATAAGGAAAAAGTTTCTAAAAGGGCTCACCGATTTAGTATTTACGGTACTTTGGCATCTTGTTGATCCTTACCCTTGAAAAAATTTACTTTAAACGAAATTAAAGCTTTTACAAGTAATATTAAAAAATCTAAGAGTTTACCTAAAGAAATTAAAGGTTTACTTAAGTAGAGTTATTTCGGACACTTGAAGTAATTTTTAGATAGCCAAGCCTGTTCGAAGTTCCCGCTAGAAGGCCGCGCGGCATAGCACTTTCTCGTAAGAAAAAAACCGCACGCGGTATTATAAATTATGTCACATACTTTTCACAATTCTTAAAGTTTCAATTTACCTCAGTGTCCAAAGTGTCCAAATTTACCTTTCATATTTCTTATTTTCCTAAAGTAAAATTTCAAGGTTTTCCAAAAGTAAAGAACCTTAAAGATCGTCCACTGTGTACATAAAATTTATATCAACTTTCCTTTTTCACCGTGTACTTACAGGCCTTGGAAAATGAAGATAAACATTATTCCGAAAGGTACCAACGATTCGTGGATAATATGCTCTCGGACATGATCGATGCAACAGACGGAAAAGCCGCTGAGCCGTACACCGTTGTGAACCACGGTGACTGTTGGACCAACAACATGCTCTTCAAATACGATCAAGTACATATGTATACGAATAGGCACTTCCTCGAGAGATACACGTCGTAGACTCTCCTAAGATTTGCGTCAAGTTAACACACGTAAGCAGTACTTTCACACGTATCTCATGTGGCATTCGTTCCGTTTCAGGCGAACAACCCGTGCGACCTGCGCTTCGTGGACCTTCAGATATGCCGTTACGCATCTCCTGTCTTAGATCTAGTTTATATACTCTTCTGCTGCTGCACACATGAAACAAGGAGTAAATATTACGACCAGGTAGTACACGAATATTACGAAACACTGTCCAAGTGTATCAAAAGGGCCGGTTACGATCCTAACATCCTCTTTCCTTACGAGGCATTGTGTCAACATTTTCTCAAATTCGGAAAATTCGCGGCGGGAATGGCTACTTACACGACACATATATTTACCAGTAATGACGTGGAATTAAAAATTACACACGACAATAAAATACTCCAAGAAAGAATACAAAATGATAGCTTTTACAGAAATATGTTAAGATGCACTTTTAAAGATCTTGTCGATAGAAATTATATATAAATATATATAAATGCTATCACAATAATATTGGTATCATCACCAAAGATAGAAGAAAATCTTTAGGTTGAAGGTAAAATGCACATTAAAATATATATTAAACTTAGAAGCCAGTGTAAAACTGTACCAAGAGTAAAATGCTATATGTTAAACAAAAAACGATAGGATATCTTGAGATTAAAGATAAAATGCACATAAAATATACATTAAACTTAGAAACCAGTGAAACTATTAAACCTGCCTCGAGTTAAAGGCAATTTATTAGCAATGATTTTGCATATCTATGCAACGTAAAAGCTGTGTACATATTTGTCTTCGTTTTTATGCTCGTTTGAAAAATCGAATATAGATATTGCTATCGACTTCTAATAAAAATAGACAAAAATTTTAATCGCGTAAAAAAAAGTAGTACTTAGTGAATTTAGTTTAGCCACTAACAAATTTGTCCAAAAATAATGTAGGGTATACATAATTTTAAATACCAAAGTACAAAAAATAGTATACGAGGTAAAATTTTCGCTTATAAATTTGTGATACCTGTATATGTATGTTTTCATTATTCGAATGCATTCGAATGTTGATAAAACAATTTTACTCAGGGAAAGACGGAAATTGTACAAGAGATATATTTTAAAATGAAATTTACAATCTCAAATATACAAAATAAAGGCAATCTACTACAGTGTTCGGTAATAAAAGGAATACTAATTTAGTGATAATATATTAGTAATTAGTAATAAGGTCGTCTTGGATTATTCTGAAAAAGAAAACGTAATACTTAAACTAAATATTTTCTTAATGCTTTTCGTTATTTTATTATAACAATCGTGATACTTGCCAATGGATTAGGCCTAAATCTGTAAGCTAGCATCATCCGTTTTCTATATGCATCAAATTCGTCATCATCCCTAGATACACCATCTGGCCTTTCAGATCCCAAACCTGCACTATCGAGTCTATTTGTAGCTCTAGAAACATATTTAGGATCAAAAAGTTGAAACGTTAAGACAAATATATTCGACATAACAAAAATGACGATAACTGGTGATATTAATGTAAAAATAGTATTCCTATTAAGACTATATTACTTATTAATTGGTTCAATACGGCCGCTACCCTCGCTACCCAACCCTTGTCCTTCGCTCCATCCAAGCTTTTGTAACATTTGAAATCCTGTAGGATATAGAAAAATGATATATGTTGTAACGTTCTAAGATTGTCCAATTGAAATGATTTTTAACAAAGAATAAAGAATGACTTTAGTCTTATTAGTATTTAACTCGGAAATGTTGGCCAACTTAAAAATAGTGATTAAAAATATAATCATCAAATTTGACCGCTCTATACTCGTTAAATATAATTGATATCGAAAAGGAGTACAAATAAAATTTTGGAAATACCTATATTATCTTCCTTCAACTTAAATTCCTTATAGTCGCTCAAATCAGGTTCTTTTCCCTGCTTTACGGCATTATATTGTTCCATGAACTTTTTTAACTCATCCGGTGGCAAAAAGTCGCCAATGTGATGTTTGCCTTCTGCTTGCGCAGTTAATTCCTCGGCCCACATCTGTGTTGCCTCCATTTCAGCGGACCTCAGCTTGTGCTCCCAAGTTCCTCCTTCTGTCTCTTCATCGCTGTCATACTCGTATTTATGTTTTCCTTGTGCTTCCAAGCGTTTCACTTCTTCTCTTTTCCTCAAGAGATTTTGGTACAAGAGATTTATCTAAAAAAATTTTTTTTGTGTACAAAAGGATAAGTTGATATTAATAAAATTTACTTTCTTACATTTTTTATAATATAATTGGATGTAATTTTATTATACCATGTCTATATTTGTATCAATTGATGCAACAGTAATCTACCTTATAATGATCCTCTGCCTTTTTCCATTGCTCTTCACTTAAATCGAGCGTACCAAATGTCTGTCTCGCATAATTGATGAGTGCAGGATCGTTTCGTGAAATTTTGGTAAGCATTGGGTTCTTTGACTTAGTGTTTTGCCTCTTCGATGGAGAAGGTATTATGACTGCGGGTTGTCCAATTTGTCCAGGTATAGCTATGCCAGGTTGCGGAAGTATAGCACCCGATCTATTACCAGAAGGTATGTTTGTCTCTGAAACGAGAACTTTATTGTCTGGATCACCCCAGCGACTACGTTTTCTTCTTTTCCGCTCTTCCTTATTATCCTCCTTTAAGTGATCTGCTAACAGTGACACATATAAAACATGTATTAATAAAACTTGTCTTAAATATCATCGAATTGTATACGCAATTGTATTCACCGTGTAGAGTTGAATGCAATTTCTGAGATTTATCCGCCTCGTCATTGTCACTAAGAGCTTCTTCAGGGCAATAAAGTTCTGCACCACTGTTCTTCTTATCCTTATCTGGCTTCTCCGCACGTAATTTTGAAACCAATCCCCTGTACTGCAGATACGCTGCACTTTGCTTTTGGTGCAGAAACCTTGATTAAAATGATACTTAAAACGCTGTCTAGTAATATGTATTCCTATAGATACAATACTTTCATAGAAGTGTAACGTTAATATAGACGTAAAATAAAAAGTAGCAAAGTAAAATAATCTAAAATGTTGTTTGGATTTAGGAGATTGGAGGCATTGATATAGTATATGTCTGGCATTTCAAAATACGCAACATATAAACACCAAAGACACAAAGTAGCGTAAGTTTAACAGAATATAATTATAGCTTCAAAAGATATGATTATAGCTTGAGAGATATATAGTAAATAAATTTTGCAATGTGATACACATTTCACATTGCTAGTGCGGCAAATAAATATTTAATATATACAAATAAATATTTATTGGCTGTGTAAATGTTTTATGAATATTACTTAGAACTTTATTACTCCGACATTATGTTTTTACTTAAACAATCAATACTTTTTTTTAAATCAAACGCGTGTAAGACGAAAAAAAAGGTTGTTGAAAATAATGTTTAAAAGCGTACAAGTGTATGCAAAAACTCAGAAGATAATTACTTATTTTGTCTCAAACTTTTTCACATATCATATCTTTTGTAACATTCTTGCAATTTCATACAAATTTTTAAAATTCCTTCCGTGTGAAAAATGTTATATTAATAAAAATAGAACATTAAGGTTTACAAGAAAAACAATTTTCTATACTAATTGTAAATTATAGGTTGTCAAATACATATGGTATGATTACTGCGATTGCAAGAAAAAATATGTTCAATGTGAGAATGCACATTCATCAGTAGCAATTTTATCAATAGCTTGCTTTATGAAGATACAAGAGACACGTAGACAAATTTCTGTAATTAGCAAATGACTTTGCGATACAGTTAATATTTAGGAATGCAAACATTTGCAACAGTTCACATTAAGCGGCCATTCAATTTTTCATGATACTAAAATGTCAAGAACTACATGATAAAGATTTGTACAATGTCCTATAATACAAAATAAAATATTATCGTCCTAGATATTATATAAAAGTATTAATTATATTACAAACGGGGAATAGGGAAGTGGAAATACAAAACGAGGACCAGTGAGGACAGTAGTTACCATAATTTAGGATCTTGGGCATTCTTCTCTCGAACTTCTTGTTCAATCTCATCCCCACAGTCAGCCACGATTCGTGCCAGCTGCTCAGCCTCTACTAAACACACTTAGAACCCTTTGTCAGATACCTTGTATAATAATGTCCTAAATATCTATGCGTGTGTGAATATGTATGTACATTTTAATATAATTATAGTAAAAGATATCATATATGTATATATTAATTGTATTTTCAATTGTAATACTACATCATACGGCAAATTATATTTGCCTACTATCCCATAATATCGTTATAATTGTGCAATAGATAAAAGTGTCTAGTGGTTACAGGTAAGATTACACAGCTATGCGGCACGAGAGAAAGTTATTTCTTAACTGTGATGTCATACCTTGTTCGGAACTTTGTAGATTAACCGGCGGTCTCACAGGCGGTGGTATTTGTACGTTAGGAGGACCCACTGAGATAGGTACCTGATTGGAAAGAGCATAGCCGCTGGACACAAGACCGCGCGATGATGCTGCATTTTGGATGACATTGGGTGGCGGGATATTGGGCGGTGGGATATTCAAGTTTGGTGGCGGGACCGAATTGATGGTCGAAGGGACGGTGTGTACTGGCGGGGGTGCCGACATTATCATGGATGTTATCACGTTCGGAGGTGGGACATTGGCTACGTTCGGTACCGTTACCACAATGGCCTGCGAGCCTGTAATAGGCATCATGGTCGGAGGCATTTGCGACATGGATGGCAAAAGGGTGGGCGGTGGCATGTTAGGCGGGGGAATATTCGGGGGCTGTAAACTGGCGTTGCACGCCGGCGGTGGTACGTTGCATTGCTGCGGATTCTGTATCATGTGCTGCTGCGCGCTCGACGGTGAGGACAAGTTGGGAATTGGCATGGCTTGTGGCATCTGCATGTTTGGCGGCGGCACGTTTGTATTGGGTGGAATGCTCTGCAGCGGGGGAGGCGGTGGAGGACGTATGATATGTGGTGGCGCGATTTGCATTCTAACGTTAGGGGAGTGCTCGTTCATGTTGCTGTAATTATTGCTGAAATTCTTCGACACCGGTATCCTCTGCATGTGCGCGGACGGGATGCTTGGCGTCAGGTTCCTTAAATTCGGGGGCGGCACATTCGTCATTTGTATCTGCACCGGTTGCGACATGAGGGACGGGATGGAAGAGACGTGGTTGTTATTCTGAATTGGGAACTGCTGGCTGAACTGCGCGCGCTGCCCGTTCTGCGACTGATTGTAGCCGTGACGCGTCTCCGGGCTGGGCGGCGATCTTCGCCTGGTCGGCGACGGACTCGACGACGAGCTGTGCTTTCGGTCCGAACTTCTCCCCCATCGGGTGTCATTTCTTCTGCGATCGCTGCGTCTGCTGTCCCAATCTCTGCTCTTTTCGCTGCTGCGTTTCCTATCTCTGTCCCTCTCTCTGGCCTCGTAGCCTCTGTCGTCTCTTCTCTTGTCTTCCTTGTCCTGCTCTTGCTTGCCAGTCGCTTTATTAGCTATCTTTTTAAACTGATCGAGGAAACTGCCGTCATTGGCAAACACATTCATGGTAGGCTTCTCGTCGTCTTCCCTACAACGCATTCATAAACAATGAGTTTTACCTCCGGCACTCGCAAGTGACAAGGATATAAATATTCCAAATAAACCGGCACGTAAATTTCGTACGAAAGACCGGGCCGACGCGACGTAACGCGACGGAGATGGAGATTTACTTGACTCACTTTGGAACACTCTTACTGGTTGTTGTGGTAGAGGCCGACGAGCTTGACTTTTTCATACATTCCACGGCCTCCTTCGCCCTCTGCTCCTGCATCTTCGCCTGGATCTCCATCTTCTTCTGCTGGATGATCTGCTCTTGCTTTGACATCTGCGCGAAACGTTCATTCCGCGAGGTTTTTGACACAAACGGATCGGAGCCCTTCACACCGCGATACGCCATTTTTGTCAGCGGCCTAGCCTCGCGATTCCGCCAACGGCTCGACGGGACTTTACGGCCGGCCGACTGAAAGAGAATCTACGTGTCCCGGGCGATTTTTCTATCCCAGAATCGCGCGTCGCCCAATACAAAGGGTTTACGCTCGGCTACGCGCAAATGGAGTTTCATATTTCATTAAACAGTGTCCGGCGACGTCGGCCATATGCATCTTTACTTGCATAATGTCCGCCAACTGAAATCAACCCACGGCAATACCTCTAGATACTTCATCGCCATTTGATGTCAGACTGGCGTTTCTCGCGCATGAGCGACAGTAACCCAGCGACGATTGGTCACGCCTATGTACTTTTTTTTTTCAGAACGAGCCTCCAATCGAATTGCGATTGGGGAAGTACGACTCGTTGCCAAACGACTGTTGTTGTAATGAAAATTTTACAGCTCAATTGTTTAACAGAGCCTGCAGTACGAATGCTTCTAAACGCATCGCAATTCTCAGTGCAAATCACGAGACACGATAGCACAAGCGTAGCTGGAACCGCGCGTTAACGAATTACCCCGATAGGATTTGCACGTTCACACGCATGTCCCTAATATTGCACTTTATTTTTAAACATACAGACATACAAATAAAAATGCTATACAATACTTACGTTACTATATGATATATATATATATATCGTATGTATATAACAACTATGTATACGTGTGTATATATATACACCGGTATAGTAAATATCGACATATATGTATATACATATATATATACATATATATCGGTATAGAAGGAATATAAGTTACATAAAAACGACATAATATAAAATAGTAAAAATCAGTACGGAGAGTCAGAAGTCTCGTTATTATAAGTGCGGGTCGCCGCAGCGGATTTAGCCTCTTGTAGCGACGAGAGAAATTTTATATAGAATGATATATGTATAGTCTTGGACTGAGAATTCTCTATTTATCCGAGCTGCTAGCTGGTTTCGCCGCAACATACACCAAGCTGCTCGACAAGTTCTCTTAGACACCGACAATATTTACTGATCGACGTCAGAGTATCCTACAAAGCTCATGTCACTTACAGCTACTAGAAAAGTCTATCGACCATAGTTAACAGCGTTCAATTACAGACCAAACACGTAAGCTTACAAAGCGATTTAGTCGCGTAAAATTGGCTATATAATAATCTCTGTAAAATACTCTGAATTACCGTGACTTCTCGCTACTCCATTGTCGCAAAACGTGGGGCCTCCCCGCGAGATTAGAGTTAATTCCGGAAAATTCCTTTCAATTATCAGCGTTACGAGTGGTGCATTCGCCGCCGCTCCCGGTCGTAGTCGTTCAAATTAATCTTATGCTTGGCTTTGAATTCAGTCTTAAAATTTGTCTACTGGGCAGTAGCGTCCCCTTCTAACACCTCGGCAAAATGAATGCTACTCCCATTGCCAGTCTTCCCGTTCGTGTCGCTCGGTGGAATTGCCGGAGTGAACCTGATCGAAATGTTTATACAATATTCAACTCTACCCTCGCATTCCATACCTCTGAAGTGTCTTAGCTTATACGGTTATACGCGCTATTCGCGCGCGCTGCCCGCAACGAGCGTAAAATCGAGTCGCAAACGCTTTACTGAAATACATCGTTATTCTTGGTAGTTTGTACAACTGGCGGCTTGGAATTGGCATGATTGTCCTGATAATGCTTCCATAGGCCAGTTACGTTATTTACTTGCGCGCCACATCCAGGCATTTTGCATCTAGACATTAAATACTTGCATTTTGGAAAAGCTAAAACATACCTACAAGACGTACGCATATATGTATATACACACACACACATCGGTTTACTTACATGAAAAAGCTGACGGTAGACGCCTTTCCTTGCTTTACCTTTGGCATTTGCTTACCAGTAGTATTGGAATTAATTGTATTCGTGACTAATTTATGACTGTCTTGATGATGACGATAGTGCGATATGTATTTGTACTTCTTTCCGCAACCGTTGACGTCGCATTTATATGTTTCCTGTTTGTACCTAGACATGCGTTGCTTCTTCGGGGTGTACTCCTCGTCATCCGAGCAATTGCTATTTGTCTCTATCGAGCTCTCCTCGATCTTCAAAGAACTATCGCGCTCGAGACCGCTCCGAAAAACTCGCTCCATGTTTCCTAAATCTATTCTATGCTCCTGATTTCGTAAATTTAAGTTGCACATTTCCGTCTTCATATTTTTCGTAATGGTCACGTCGCTATTTATATAAACCACGTTGTTCTTATCCTGCGTGCATTCCACCTGAAGGATCTCCTCGCACTTTGGCGCCCCGATGTCGTACTTCCGTAAGAAATTATCTTTAATTATAAGCAGATCTTCGCTGTTAGAGAACTTGCTAATACCATTCAAGGACTCATTATTCGAGTAATCCTCGTTGTTTGCAACAGTAATCTTCTGCTCGTGACAAAACTCGCTCTTCACCTGAATCTTCGTTTCATTTCTAATAGGGCAGTTTTCTTCTTTATTCCCGTATTCCTCCTTTATGGTAAAGTTTTCGCTTGGCAGGTTTTCGTAGCATCCCTCGTCAGTCTTTTGCATCACGTCTTCGTCTATCGCATTTTCGGGGCCTTCGAAACAAATGATCTCGGGCTCCGTTGGCAGTGTAGGTGGTTGTCTATGACAACTCTCAATGTGCTCCTCGAGATTACCGCTAGTAGACTGCAAAGATCCACAATTGGTGTAGGGACATACAAAAACATTTGTTTCATGGTTGTGCCATTCTTGATAATGTCGCCACATACTGCCTGGGTCGGACAATTCTTCTCCGCAACCTGGCTCGCGACAACTATGAAAAGTATACGGGAAGACATTAATAAAACCTTTAAAAAAAATTCAACGTCGCTGATAAATACTGATATCAATTTTCGTCAAAAGCACATTAATCTATTTGCAACTATATTCTTGCCCGAGCACAATCAATTGCTTTACACTTACATAAATCGAATTTTCAAAGCCTCTAATGCCTCGTGCGTCTTATATTCATCTTGATTAGTGAACACCTTCCCGCAACCTCGTTGTTTGCAAGTGTATACTTCCTAGTATTGAAAATTGATTCAATTAGTGAGACCGTACCGAGTGCACAGTTTGAAAGCATTTCGTCAACGAATCGCGCTCGCAGATGGCAAATAGGTTTTATGTCATATGAAACTTTCACTATTGTCAACAAATGTAAGAATAATTTTCAAACGTGCTCAACATGGAAATCTGAATTTCACTAAATTTTACACCCGATAAACCGTAGACAAGTCAGCTTTGGTCAATTCTAATGCAGGCACTGGACGAAAAGTACACGAAGGAACAGAGTCAATAACATTTTTACAATTTGTCTCTTTTTAAAGGAGCAAGACTTGTCGTTTCGAATTTACGTCGAAATTAAGTCGAAACGAGAATTCCATTCTTTTTAAACCCGCTCCGATTCGTTCTACTATTTGTTTTGGCTTAGGGGTCATCGACCCCAGGCGACCAATGGCCCTACCGTAAACTTCACCTTTTTCGGTGCGATTTCCTCAATGGTGCGGTTCCGCGAGACGAATCTGATGACGCTGACCTCCGTGGGCCGGTCGGCGCACGTCTCCGTACCCTGGCCCATTCTGCGGTGACTCTCCTCGAGCGACGGCGAGCAGGGGGAGGACGAGCTCACTCACTCGCTTCGCTCGCGGAGCTCACATAACCTGCAGCCCCTGTGAGACGACAGGTTTGACAGAAAAAATATCGCCCTTGCTGAATAAATTCCCGGACGGAGTTGCGCGGTTCCTCGACGGGGCCAACGCTCGGCTCGCGACGCTCACCGGCCAGACGGCGCCCTCGAGTACGCACAGAAACGCACCGTCGATTCCAGCTCACATTATCACTCTGTCAATAATAACAATTACTTGTGTTGTCAAGTCAGTGCAGCAGAATCTGATCGCGGCCGCGATGACGACGCCGGTCGGTCTGGCGCGTTGAGAACCGCTGGCCGCACGACCCATAATGCAAACAGACGCGCATGACGGATGCGTAAAATCATACCCGCGAGTATATGATGATTCTCCATTTTCTCGATTCGAAGTTTGCAATTCTCGGAATTCCAATCCTTGGAAATGCT